AAGGAAAAGACCATTCTTAATGGTGTTAGTGGCGTGGTATGTCCGGGAGAGATCCTAGCCATGCTAGGTCCTTCGGGTAGCGGTAAAACCACCCTACTAAGCGCCCTCGGCGGAAGGATTGGTGGCAAGTTACTAAGCAGTAAAATCACCTACAACGGCCAACCTTTCTCCGGTACAATAAAGAGACGTACAGGCTTTGTAGCTCAAGATGATGTTCTATACCCTCACCTCACTGTATTTGAGACCTTATTGTTTACAGCTCTTTTAAGGCTACCAAGCGCCCTGGCCCACGAAGTTAAAGTGAGCCAGGTGGAACACGTGGTAGCAGAGTTGGGCCTGGGCCAGGTAAGAAATAGTATGATTGGAGGCCCATTGGTGAGGGGTATCTCTGGAGGAGAGAAAAAGAGGGTTAGCATAGGCCAAGAGATGTTGATTAACCCAAGCCTAATGTTGTTAGATGAACCTACTTCGGGCCTTGATTCAACCACGGCTTTAAGGATCATGATCACCCTTAAGGGTCTAGCTGAGGGAGGACGGACTGTAATCACCACTATCCACCAACCATCTAGTCGTCTATATCACATGTTCCACAAGGTGGTACTTCTATCAGAGGGCAGACCTATCTATTACGGGTCTGCCTCCTCTGCTCTAGAATATTTCAATTCTGTCGGATTTTCTACCTCCTTGACAATTAACCCTGCCGATCTTCTCCTCGACCTCGCTAGTGGTAAGCCAACATAAACTTTTGTACATTTTAACTTCAATTAAGTTAATTTTAGTTACAAATTATATTTTATGATTTTATTTACACTCATCTAATCTTAACAATTAAAGTAGATATATTAGATAAAGAGGGGATCAATAATTATAATAGTACTTGTATTATGATTGGGGTAAGCTTTATGGCCTACTATACTATCCTCAAAGTGGTGGAAGTGATCATGATTCATCATTGTAACTTTACTTATAAATGTGGAAGTGGAAGAAAGAATTAGGACTAGCCCACTTAACTTCAAATAATGGTGACCCTACCCATTGTTTGGTGCTAAGGTTTATAATGTGCTAACATATATCATGATAATCTCTCATTAACCTTAATTAGTTATATAATTAAACATGTATAGACAAGCAACATGATTAAGTTCAAGGTGACTAAGTCTAAAACTTCCTTTTCACCTTTACTTGCTTCACTTTATACTTCAACCAAGATTGTCTAAGTAATGCTTGACATGTCATAGTTGTACTAGAAATCAAATAAAAAGTACTTTTACAATATTAGCAAGTTGTGTTAAAAGTTAATCTTCTTTATTAATTATATTATAATTATTTTAGGGACTGGGCCGGAGTCGAAGCATGCAATGGAGCAAGGTGAAAATATGGAGCAAGAAAAGAAACAAGTGAGGGAAGCACTAATTTCTGCTTATGAGATGAATATATCAACAAGATTGAAGAGTGAACTTTGCAATTTGGAAACGGCTAATTACGGTTGGAAGAAAGATGCCTCTAACACAACAAGTATACAACTTCTTTACTTACTTTATTCCTTCCAAGAATTAGTTAATAATGGGCATGCATAATTATAATAATAATTAAGAAGTATAATAGCTAGCTCCCCTTGTTTTTTTCAGTTAAATTTAAGTACTTGTGTCGTCGTGTCGGGTTCACAATTCTCTATGTTAGATCGTATTTATATATGTTTTTATAAGATAGTTGAATTTGACAGACACTTGGACACATATATGTTTCTGACACAAATAAGTAATAATACGGTAACAACCAAATTATTTATATACTTAGAAAGCTGGAAGTTAGAACTAGTACATGTAAATTATATGCATGTCATGAATGAATAACAATCTCATTGTATTCACCTTAAGAAAAAGGTGAATAATATAAAAGAATATGTGTGTAAAGGTGCAATTCTTGTAGAAGGGGTTAAGATGGTAAATGAGATATGGCAAAAAAAAAAAAAAAAAAAAAAAAAAATTAATTAAAGTAGGTAGAACATAAAATCGCAAGCAAAACTAGTAAAAGGTTAGAACAAAAAAGAACGAAAAAGGTATCAATATTTAAAATATATAATTAAAATTTTACAAATATTATTTTATCATGGAAGAGAGTATATATGAATACAACATTATAGTAATCATAATGTCCTATCATTTTGATTTGCATTTGTAATTATGTGTTGTCTAATCACAAATTATTATGATAATTAGGGAAAGACACAAAAGGAGAACAATGGTGCACAGGCTGGTGGCACCAATTCAAAGTATTGCTACAGAGAGGGATGAAAGAAAGGAGATTTGAAGCATTTAATAGGCTCAGAATCTTCCAGGTCTTAAGTGTTGCCACCCTTGGTGGGCTCCTTTGGTGGCACACCCCAGAATCCCACATTGAAGATAGAGTAAGCTACCTTTCATTTTCTTTCATTCCATTTTTGTAAAATTTTGTATCATATCATGTTTGTATAGATTACACATCACGATCACGAGTATGTTCGATACTCAATCGATATAAGAGGTTAAATAAAAACATTTTACTAGCTCTGTTACTGACTTTAATTTAGATGGCAGAATTAGGGTCCGATATCCACCAATTTCTTTTTAGAGAGACTTCTTTCATTCACATCTTAACACGTACCACAAACTAATATTGTTATGAAACTATAGGACAAAGAAAACTTAGTGGTCTAGCTAATTTACAGCCTTAACTATTGTGTTCTAATAAAGAAGCTTATCAGCAAAGTTATAAGATAATAACTTTATTTATAAATTACTTTTTGAGATAATCTAGATACTAATTATGTCTTACTTAATACGACTATACGAGTACGGACTTTGATAAAGTAATTATTAAAATTAATTTAATGAACTTTATTATTAAAAAAAAAATTAAACACAGCATCTTACTTTTAGATTGGAGATAATAATTTAAAGCAATAATCAAAATTAATGAATTTCCCGTTAAGTATTAGATTTGTCTTTATATCGATTCTTGTACCTCCTTATTAACCATTAAAGCTTTAATATTTGTTATTTCTTTACTTTATTCTACATCAATTTATTTGTCACTTTAGGCTTATTGATAGATTTGATTTAACCTCCACCACGAATTGCATGTGATTTAGATTTTTCATCTTTTACTACTCAGTACTAAAAGTCATGTAGTTTATGTACTTGTAGTGGAAAAAAAAAAGGCACCATAAAGCTACTTTTATGTAAGCTTAGAAGTGAAACTTTTATGTAAGCTTAGAAGTGAAAGTTGTTTAAGATATAAAGTGGTAAATGACTTATACTTTTGATAAGGTGCTCCTGAGTTACCTTTCTCTGCGAATTATTTCATACAATCGGGTGTATCTTGTTTAAGAGTATCGAGTATGATGTTCTTAAACCTATTAGTGAATAACGCATGAACCATACTAGTATTAAGCAAACATAGGCTTATGAGCACCATTTTCATTGTTGGTAGATGAACCATATAATTATCTAAGTTTATATGATTATCTGACTATATATCTTATCAATATTGTGTAGGTTGCATTGATTTTCTTCTTTTCCGTATTTTGGGGTTTTTACCCCTTATATAATGCGGTTTTTACCTTTCCACAAGAACGAAGAATGCTAATCAAGGAACGCACATCAGGAATGTACAAGCTCTCCTCATACTTTCTAGCAAGAACCATAGGAGACTTACCCTTGGAGCTAGCCCTACCTACCGCCTTTGTCTTCATAATATATTGGATGGGTGGACTAAAGCCAAACCCCATCATCTTTGTTCTTTCTCTCATTGTTGTCCTTTACAATGTTTTGGTTGCTCAAAGCCTTGGTCTTGCAATCGGTGCCATACTAATGGACATCAAACCGGCAACCACCTTGGCTTCTGTCACAACCCTAGTGTTCCTAATCGCCGGAGGCTACTATGTTCAACAAATCCCTCCTTTCATTGTGTGGCTTAAGTACTTGAGTTATAGCTACTATTGTTACAAGTTGCTCCTTGGTGTACAATACCAAGAAGATGATACTTACCCTTGCTTGAAGATGGGAAAGTGGGAATGGTGCAAAGTTATTGATGTTCCTGCTGTAAAATCAATGGGCCTCACTCATTTGTGGATGGATGTTTGTGTCTTGGGACTAATGTTGGTGGGCTATAGAATAGTTGCTTACTTAGCATTACAACGAGTACGCATGAGGTGAACTATGTAGTGGCTGGAAAGTATATATATGTCTTTTTAGAGCATGTCTATTATACACCTGAGGATCAAATTATGAGATTTATATGAATGGAGTAGTGCTTTATTAACTTAGAAAACTTCCAGGGTTTACTCCATTTATCTTTCACTTGAAGAATAATTGTAATTTAGACAGGAAAATCATAATTTTGGCGGTAAGTACCCCTATAGAAATGAAATGGTACTACTTATGATCATGTATACTAAAGTATGACTATGGAGTAATAGAAGTATTTTCACCTAGCAATTGTTTTGATGCACTATATTAGTCATTATCAATTAATTTACCTCCAACATTTTTTCAATCATTTAATTCTAATCATCTTTAAAGTCTTAAGTTTTTTTTTTCCTTTTTTTTGACTAGAAATTCTCAGCGCTTTAAGTATACATGCTTCTTGTCAGGAATTGATTTTCCTTAGTCGTATTACTGTATTAGCAAGTATATATATACAACCTAACAAGAGATTAGGGTAACATTGGCCCATTAGCTATACAATATTAGGCTTAACACCCCCCCCCCCTCCTTAAGTTGGAGCATGCAAATCACAAATGCCCAACTTGCCCAGTAAATAAACAAATTGGTTTTTGCTTAAGGCCTTAGTGAAAATATCCGCAAGTTGATCAGTTGTCTTCACATAAGACATACTAATAACCCCTTCCTAAATTGCATCCCTAACATAATTTCAATCAAATTCAATATGCTTAGTGCGTTCATGAAAGACTGGATTCTGCGCAATATATAACGCTGATTAACTATCACAAAACAAGCTCATCGCACGTGGATGCGAGACTCCCAAACTGATATAACGCTGATTAACCATTTCAACTCTGAAGTAATTGCCGACATCGAACAATACCCTGCCTCTGCAAAAGACTTAGAGACAGTATGTTGTTTCTTAGTCTTCAAAGAAATCAGAGAACCACCAAGAAACACCAACCAACCAGTAATCGACCGTCTCGTCAAAGGACAACTAGCCCAATCCGAGTCACACCAACCTGTAAAATGTAGATCGCAATTTGAACTCAAAAAGACCCCTTGACCCGGACAACCTTTCAAGTAGTGTACCGCACGGAGTGCTGCCTCCCTATGATCTTGACGAGGTTGTTGTATAAATTGTGATAAGATATGAACTGTATAAGCAAAATCAGGTCTAGTGAAAGACAAATAGATCAAATGACCCACAAGACGGCGATACATTTCGGGGTCATCAATAAGAGGTGTCTCCGATTTAACTAGAGTATGATTTTTCTCAACGGCCGGTCCCGCTCCTAATATACCAGATTCTGCAATAATATCAAGAGTATATTTCCGTTGACATAAATATATGCCCTCCGAACTTCGTGCAACCTCAATACCAAGAAAGTACTTCAACACACCCAAATCTTTCATATGAAAACAATCACTCAAATATGACTTGAATGTTAAAATTGCAGAAGAATCATTCCCCAAAATTATTAAATCATCAACATACACCAGAACACTTAGATGAATAGTCCCATGATTCAGAGTAAATAGAGAGTAATTAGAGTACGATTGCAAAAATCCGTACCTTTTTAGAGAGCCGACCAATTTGGAAAACCAACAACGAGGTGCTTATCTTAGTCCGTACAAAGACTTCTGAAGACGACAATCCATGCCCGGTTTTGTACCATGAAATCCGGGAGGAGGCTTCATGTAGACCTCTTCATCGAGGTCACCATGAAGAAAAGCGTTATGGACATCCATTTGATGCAATTCTCAATATTTCGCAGAGGCAACGGCTAGGAAAGCACGAACAGTGACCATTTTAGCAACGGGAGCAAAGGTCTCATTATAATCAATACCTTCAATCTGATGATTACCGAATATAACAAGATGTCCCTTCAATCTTTCAACAGTGCCATCTAAGTTAAGTTTAATTTTGTAGACCCATTTGCACCCGAGAGCTTTCTTCCCCGGAGGTAATTCTTCCATCACCCATGTTTCATTATCCTCCAAGGCGGAGATTTCTTTTTGCATCGCCTCTCTCACCCCCTCATCTTGCATAGCCTCTTTGAAATTATGAGGTTCGACCGTCGTATCTACAGCTGCAACAAATACACGGTGTCGCATGGAAAATTTATCACAATTCACAAAATGTGCTAAAGGATAGGGAGTACCTAAGGTTCTTGGAGTAGACGGTGAACCTTGAGAGATAGATAGACCCGGGAGAGAGATAGTATGTGCGACATAATCACGATACCAACCCGGAGGATGTCATTGACGATGACCACGACCCATATCAAGAGAAGTAGAAGAAAAGGAGCTCGGAAAGCCTTAGAGCTGCTGTTTGAACTTCTAGCTAGTAGTAGCAGCGGCACTAGGGGCCGCGGGGAGCTACAGGCAGCATCGGGTACCGCAGGGGAGTCACATACCAGGCTACCGACAGCAGTAGTAGTAGGTATAGTAGCGACAGCAACAGCAGTAGAATTGGGAGCAACAGTTTCAGCAGCAGTGGCAACATTAGAAATAGTAGCAGTAGTAGTACCATGTTCAATTGCAGCTTCCCTAACCTCCAAAACTTGCTCCAAATCATCCAAAAAATCCATGTCGATGAAAGGAATGGTGTCCTTCGAATAAGTGTATTATTCCGAGAGAGGGTTCAGAATCAATTACAGAGTTAATTATACAGCGAAGTCAAGTGATCGGAAAGTCGGGCTAGAGGCCATCTCCGATCAGTGAGATTAATTATATTAATCTCACAGCTTTCCTTTGACTGAACCCAACGGGTCACACCCAAGCGTGCAACCAAACTAAGGTGACGAATTAAGCCGAAGGCCTTAATACATCAAACAAGAGGATATGTACTCCGACGTCGGATTCCGAGCTTAGAGCGTCGAAGCTGAACGTCGAACGTTGAGTTAAATTCTAGGAATTAACGAGACGTACAAATAAGTCAAACAACAAATAATAAAGTCAAAGTGCATAGCCCTAGCCTCGTATCGGCCTAGCAGTACGAGGGCTAGGGTAGCACATGTTGCCGCAAGTCGCAAGCACCAAGCAGCCCGCAAGGGCATGCGAGCTTGCGAGGGCAGCAGCAGCAAGCAGCTAGCAAGGTGCACCAAGCAACCCGCATGCCAGCAGCTTGCAGTAGGCCTGCTATCCTTGCGCGCTAGCAAGCCCGCAGCAAGCAGTAGCTTACGAGGCATGCTGGCAGGCCCGGCATGGCAGCCAAGCAACGCACAGCAGCCTAGCAAGTGCGGTGGGCTTGCGGTGCGGCTAGCAGGCCCAAGCCAAGCTCACAAGGCCTTGGTCGGCCATACCTTGGTGCCCAAGGATGTTGTCTGGTCATACCTTTTTGTGATTGGTGGGTTTGGTGGCTTGGGGAACAAGGAGGCTATGTGGCTCTCCCTTATGGTCCTCACCTAGCCCTCCCATGTTTGTGCCACTTGTTGTTTGATAATTTTTTATTGGCATTTTAATTTATTTTAGAATTAAATTAAATGCATTTATTTCTCAACTTTGCAAAGTCCCACATTGATTGGAAATCAAGTGGATGGAGATGCTTCTCCTATAAATACCCAAGACCTCCCTTGGAAATTGTTGCAAGAGTTGAACTCTATACAAGGCATCTCTATTAAGATAACTTTCTAAGGAGATCCTCTTGTTAGTAGTGTTAATATTACCCTAGCCGGTAATATTAGCCGAGTTTGGGCGCGTCGGTGAACTTCGTTGGAGGGGTCGCATTTGAGGCTCTTTCTCCGTTCGTGAGTTCGTGCTCGTGCTAAGTGGAAAACACGCATCAAGGGTATGGTCGTCTTTTCCTCTTTCTTTCTCTCTCTCTCTCTCTCTCTCTCTCTCTCTCTCTCTATTATTATGTGTTTATTATTTAATTGATTGTATACATGTTTAGTTGCTTTAATTTATGCACGAATCTTTAGGCGGGTTTTGTTTCCGCGCAGTGTTTGACATTGCAAAACCCTACAGCGGTATCACGAGCCACGTGCATTTAATTATTGTGACTAGTAATTAATTAAGTGATTTAAATGGATTTAAATTTCTGGTTTAGCAACCTAATTAGATTTAGGACCTTGTTTTTAATTAGATTAAAATCGTATTTTTGCGATTTTTGGCCTACGAACCCAAATTTCGACTCAAAAATAGTGAATTTTGGGTGGAATCGATGTTCTAAATCATTCTTTACCCACAAGTGTTAAAATTACCTTCCAGAAGCCAAAATCCACCCAGAAAGTGGTTTTTCGAGGGGTTTTTTCGTTTGAAACGAAAAATTTTAAATCTTTAAACTTTGATTAATTATGACATGCAATTGTTGGATTATGTGTTTGATTATACCATTAATCTTCTGCAATTTTACTCCTTATTAAGCATATTTATGAAGTCATATTGGTTGCTTAATTTGTTTAGCTCTTAATTTCACATAAACTTGGATTTTCTCATTCTTGCAAATAAATTGCTTGTAGTGCGAAAGTTTATGGTGAATATGATTTTTGAAGCCCTTAAAATGTTAAAGATTCAATCTTTAATGGTTTAAATGGTTTAATCTTAACTTGCTAAAATCCATGATGAACAAATTTTTGATTTTAATCATTTTGGAAGTCTTGTGCTTGAAATATTATTGTTCTTCATATTGGAAGGTTGTAATATTCAAATGTGCATAAGTAAGTGTTGGATAAATTATTTCATTGGATGATTTATTATTTATTCAACTATTTTTGTCAAATCTCGTCATTAATTTATGTTGGTTAAATTAATTGTGAGAATAGCCCTCAATTTTTGTTGCATCAAGTTGAGCCAAAAATAATATAAAGAATGGTTCTTGAATTTATTTTGGTTTATGCACTAAAATTGAATTTATTTAAGTTGGACTTGTTCTATCTTCAAAATTGCTCAATATTAATTCTAAAATCAATTAAAATGCCAATAAAAAATTATCAAACAATAATATTTTATTCCGAAACATGAGCATGTAAATCGAAGCCTCGAGCTTCGAGCACCCACCCCGACTAGCAGGGCTGCTTGCGTAGCTCACATATTTCTGCCGAGGTGGTGCATGCATGCGTGTGCCCATGTGCGTGTGGCTGCGAGCGTATGTGTGCGGGGAGAGCTAGCATGGTCGGGCTAGTGACTGTGCGCCACGGAGCCTATGGTAAACGCTGCTAGGATGCCCACGGGAGCATCTAGCAGTGCTGCGGGGCTAGGGTGCGAGCACCAGACACCATGCCGCAAGCCCAGGGCTGCTAGGCAGCAACTGGTGCTAGCAATGGTGCGTGCCAAGGCAGCCTTGGTGCGCTGCTATGTGCGCGCTGTCGGCTATGCGCACCTTGCTTGGTGCCTAGCTAATTCCCTAGGCCTTTTGGCTTGGGAGCTAGGCACTTGGCACCGTTTTTTCATGTACTTGAAAAATTATTTTGACAAAAAAAAATTTTAATCAGCTTAATTAATTTTAATCGGATTAATTTTAATTAAGTTGGATGTGGAATTTAGTGGGAGCTTCATTAATCGTTTTGAGCTTAATTTAGCCTTGATTGTGCTTATATTATTGCGTTAGTACACATCATCGGATAAACAATTTGACTAGTTTTAATTAGGCCCGTTAATTGGATTAACCACCTAAATTAGTAACTAGTATGCGCTTGTTTTAATACACTGTTTTGTATTGTTGCTTGAATTATTTGTAAAATGCATGGGCCATTCACTTTAGAAGTGAATGGATGAATGGAATATTTTAGATGTTCTAAAGCAGGTTTTACAAAATGGAAACTGGTATGGCCTGACTAGGATAGTAAATACGGACTGCGTTCCGTTTTGTATTTTTGTAAATCTAAATACGGACTGGGTGCCGTTAAGTATTTTTGTACTTAAATTATTTAGATTAATCCTAGTTTTTCTAGTAGTTGCATATTTGGTGATGTCTCAAAGACGGAGTTTCTAAGAAGAAGAAGCCAAAAAGATGCAATGAAGGCCTTGAAGATTTGAAGATTCAAGTTTCAAGGGGCTCATGCTAGTTTGCCAATGCATCTTTGTTATATCTTATATACTTTTTGCTTATATAGAATTGCGATATTAGATGCATGTTTAGGATTTCGAATGTTGAATGATTAATTTATTTCACTTAAATCAACCAACATAGAAACCCTAAGTCCCATAGAATATTGAGTCAAAAATTGTCATTCCAAAATGACACTTACAGAACTAATAAGAATAATAATGGGCTATGCCAAAGCAAGGCATTACTACTTTCCCAGGGAAGTAAGGTATGTTGGTGGGCTTGCTAAAGCAAGGCGTCATATACACGTTAGTTTTGGTTAAACTCAACGATATCAGTAAGGAGTCCTTAGATGTCGAGGCAAAGGATATAATCGTCAAGGAAGCGTTGGATGCGACAATTTATCGAACCAAGAATAGCTTAG